TCTTCTTTTTTTTCTGTAAATATGTCAGCTTCCAGAAAAACAGTCCAGTTTCAGAGTCTTAGAACATTCATTTAGGATATTCAAGTAGCTTTGGAGTATCTTATTTGAACACAAAGCTCCTCATCCTTGATGTATTGGCAAAAATGCAGATGCTAGGTATTTAATTAGATATTAGCAGACTTGCAGGACATTGGCATTGGATCCCTTCGATGGCCTATAAGACAAAGGACTGGAACTGCAGGACTCTCATTTCTGGTTAGAAGAATGGGACTTGAGTATATCCCTCTCCCTGGAAGGAGTCAGTCACAACATCCTGAACTGCCGAGAAAGCCATTAATGGATAACTATCTAGGCCTAGTGCTGAGAGCCCTAAACCTTGTAAGAATACTATACGTAGGAAGCTTTCTGCTAAGAACAGCCAGACTTTGTGGGAGAGGTATGTAATCTCAGTTTGCCTACTATACAGTGAGCTCAAAGTCAGCCTGAAAAATTTAGTGATCCTGTGTCAAAATGAAAAAGGTTAAAATAAATAAATAAATGAGGGCCATCACTAAGTGATGGAGTGCTTGTCTATCATATGTAAGGCCCTAGTTCAATTAGCTGTACCATACAGAAGAAAAGACATACCATTTCTCCTTCCTGTAAGAATCGATCCAAGGGGCTCAGTGTTTTAGAGCACTGGCTGTTCTTATAGAGGACTCCACCCACATGGCAGCTAACAACCATCTGTTCCAGGATATACAACACCCTGTTCTGGCCGCCATAAGCACTGCATGTGCAGGTACACTTACATACATGCAGGCAAAACATTCATACATATAAAGATAAATAAATTTAAAAAAATTAAAAAGAATCAGTCCAAATAGACTTGCCAATCTTCAGTATAGGACAAAATCCCTCAGGAAGAACTGTTTGCTCTAGACTTTGGAAAACACAATAAAGCCTGTGAAAAATGTGGGTTGAGGTAGTGGATTCTTTGACTACCAGTCACTCACTTGAGAGTGTATTGCACTCTCCAATAAACTCTGCCCATTCCAACACTAACATTTTGCTTGAATTCTAACACAGTTTACAAGGACCAGAGGCAAGAGGAGTCTAGACTAAGATCTGGGTGACAGGAAGACAATACTAGTGCCCATAGCTCTCCTAGATCAATCTAAATTGGGTGAATATGCTCAAAATAATAGGTGATAATGATTCATGAAAGTTACCATGCTTTCCATCATCTCAAACTCTCCTTCACAAAATGGTAAGATGTTCAGGTGACATGTCTGGTCATATTCTTATTGATGCTGCTGTTAAAGGTATTTCCTCTTGTTGATTGATAGTCACCTACTGGAAGCTCCTCCCCCTTTCTTTCTTGTTGGTCATTCTTTGTTATTTAGCATCTCTATTTCTGGAGCCAAACTGTCTTCTATTCTGTATATCACAGCCCTCATTCCTTTTTAAAAATTATTTTATTTATTATTTTCATTTTATGTACACGAGTGTATTGCCTGCATGTATGTAAGTGCACCTGTGTCGTGCAAAGCCCACACAGAAGAGGGTGTTGGATTCCCTAGAACTGGAATTATGGACAGTTGTTAGCCACCATGTGGGTCCTGGGAATCAAACAGGGACCATCTGTAAGAGCAGTCAGTGCTCTTAACTGTGAGCCACCTCTCCAGCCCCACAGCTTTCATTTCTATACAGTTTTCCTAGTCCATTAACAGTATTGGCAAAAAAGCCAACTTTCTAGACATGCTCTGGTCTGAAGTTAGCTTTAAATCCCAGAAACTTCTTTACAATGAACATCACAGGGTTGTCTTGGTCTCTGTTGAATGAATTCAGAATTCTCTGAGCTAAAACCTGTACTTGTCAGGGTTCAGAGATCTCCATTTTGTGCCTGTGGCAAATGAGAGATGAAGGAAAAGGTCACTGATGAGAGCTCAAATTTGGTGCCCACATGGGTGTGGCTATGAAGAACACAGAAGTGGTCATTGATGACAGGGTGGGTAGGTAGTTGCATGAGCTTCTCTGGAAAGTGAAATTATGTATTTTTAGTTCACGGTTTAGGAAGCAAATATAGCCCCACTTCAAGTGTCACAGCCTTCCCTTTTGTCTGGTGGCTTTCTCTGGTCATGGGGTGGGAGGATTCCTCTCTCTCAAGTGCCTCAATTCTCCCCACTTTTCATTTATCTCAGGAAAGCATTTGCAGTTAAGTAACTAATAACTCATTCGCCTCTGTGCTGATTTGCATTTCAAAGAAGTTCCAAGTATAGCAGGGTGTGAATGTTTAACTTGTTTTAACAGGAAATTTTCATGGGTTGCTTTGATAGATTAACCCAATCTATCAGAGGGGATTTCTTTCTTCCCTTTCTAACAACCATGCAGAATATAAATCTTTCTCCTACCTATGAACAGTGTTTGAAAATCTTGTTCCCCACCCCCTTTGTCATTAAGAAATTGGAAACTGTCCTAGTTTGTTTCTCCATTGCTGCGACAAAACACTCTGACCAATACCAACTTGGGGAGGAAAGGATTTAATTCGGTTTGCATCTCCTGGGTCACAGTTCATCAGGGAGCCCAAGGTAGGAATTCAGGGCAGGAGGCAGAAGCTGGAGCATAGGCCGTGGAGGAACGCTGCTTACTGGCTTGCTCCCCTGGCTCCTGCTCAGCCTGCTTTCTTATGCAACACAGGCCCCCCTGGCCACAGTGGGCTGGGCCCTCCAACATCACTCAACAATCAAGAAGATGCTCCACAGACACGGCCACAGGCCAGTCCAATGGAGGCAATTCCCCAACGAGGCTCCCTCAACCCAGGTGTGTCAAGTTGACACTAAAGCTATCTAGCACAGAAACAATGACTAAGTTTGGTAATGTGGTACACACAAATAATCCCATATAAACTGTAAGCCAGAGGCAGGGGAATCACAAGTTCAAGGCAAGTGTGAGTAACATTGCTAGACTCTGTCACAAGCAAGCAACCAAACAATGCCTGATGATGTGGGCTCTGTTTTTGAAAGTGTGTTCAATTCCATTGTGGAAGAAAAGATGAATAAGATTTTATATGGAAAATCTGCAGGTAGGTAATGGGGTTTGGGGAGAGAAATAGAAAGGGAGTATTGCCAATGGACTTGTCTTGGAAGCTGCCTAGGAAGTACCAAGTTCCTAGGACATAGCACCCACAGGTGTCTCCTGGAGAACTGAGAGAAAGTGCAATGACAAAAGATCTTCCAAAGCCCAGGAGAATTTATAAGTCAGGTGTTCTGCCTTCATGGGTGAAGACTCATCTGCTCTTTCTATCCAAGGTATGCAGTGGCTCCTTCTGTACCTGATGTAACTGACTGGAAACCCAGTGAGACTGCCTTTTGTACAAGAAGCTTCTTTTGGTTTCTTTTCCACAGGTTTCTAATGCTCATAAGCTGAAGAAGCTACTGGATACCCGAAGACACGGAAGACATAGTAGGAGACTCCACATCCAAGTGGGAGAGGAGAACAGAGCAAACACTTAAGATCTCCTAAGCTGGTACACTGGACTAATGATGTCACTCTTGTAAAAATATGAAGGGGGAAAAAAAGGACTGTAAAACAGAATTCAAATACTATCAGAAAACGAGAGGAGATACTTTGAATCCTTTTTATACGGTCAGTCAGTCAGCCTCAGTTGGGTAGTGTATCCTGAAAGTTTGGCGCTTCTTAGCTTCCAGGATAAGTTCATGGTCAACATTCCTGTTTTCCCCCATTACCCACTTACATCTTTTTCTTTCCTTTTTTTTTTTTTTTTTTTTTTTTTTGAGACAGGGTGTCCCTGTAGCCCAAGCTGGCTTGGAACTAGCTATGTAGACTAGGCTGGCCTTGAACTCATAGAGATCCACCTGCCTCTGCCTTCCAAGTGCTGGGATTAAGGACATGAGCCACCACACCTGGCTGACCTGGATGTTTTTCATAAGAAAAAAAAAATTACAGGGGCTGGAAAGATAGCTTAGTGGTTAAGAGCATTGATTGTTCTTGCAGAGGACCTGGGTTCAGTTCCCAGCCCTCACATGGTGGCTAACAACCATCTGTAACTCCAGTTCCAGGGAATCCTATGCCCTCTTCTGATCTCTGTGGGCATTGCATGACCTGGGTACATTTATATACATGCAAGCAATACACTTCTATACATAAATTAAAAATAATAAATATGTATTTTAAATTTTTATTTTTATTTATTTATTTTGGTCTTTTTGAGACAGGGTCTTCCTTGTCTATGATTTAGAAAGAAATTATTAAGAGTTATTTACGCCTGTTTGATCATGTACTATGGAAAAGAAGATGTATATACTCTCTCTATATATATATATATATATAAATATATATACACACACTCATATATATATATAATTAAAAAATAACTTATTGAGAATTTCATACAGGGAAATAAGTACATAGGTGTTTTGATCAAATCCATGCCCACTCCCTCCCCTCCATAGGTGTTTTGATCAAATCCATGCCCACTCCCTCCCCTCCAACTTCTCCTATATCTCCC